ACAAGCAACAATTAAAGCACAATTTTGAAAGTTAGCACACAAAAGGAAACCTAACAATGACACTAGAATAGATCATAAAATAAAAGCTAAGATTATAAAGTAAAATAAGACTCAAACAATGTATATGTGGCTGGACATAAAATTGAAGACAAGGCACACAAAATTTTACCAAAACTGAGAGCAATATTTCACTAGAATTTTCACTCCTTGGCTTTTTCTTGTGTTCTTTTCTTTTGATTTCTTTTGTGAATTATTTTGTTCTTTATTTTTATTTGTTAACACAGGAGTCTAATTCCTTTTAATCAAGTGTATGTCTCAGATTTAACTAATAAAACTGCTGCCAAAATATTTTCACAAAACAAGAGGTGTTCAGATGCATATTCTAACTAGTGCTTCACAATTTTGTAGTATTTTTAGATCAAATTTTTAGGCACTATTTTCTTTTGTTTTTCTCATGCAATAAGAACACATACACCTCTATTTTGTCTCTGTTTTGATGGTTTAAAAATTGATATAAGTTTCAGCCACACACAAGACTCAAAGAAACCTAATAGGAATTAGTGTTTAACAATTTTTTTTGACAAAACTTTTAACAAGACATATAGGAAACCTAACTCTATGAAATTTTCTAGAACTAATAGCAAATCATGAACTCAATCATATAAAGCAAAAGAACATTTAGATAGGTTCAGATTTAATAACAAAAATGACGCACCAATCAATGAGTGAAGAACAACACAAAATTAGGTCAAACAAGCTAGTCTAGGAATTTTCAACATACAAAGGACTACACATGACTTCTAAGACAAAACAAGTGATTCAAAAATAAAACTAATACAATATGAATGTTGTCCAATCACGGAAACATGTTAAGGAATGGAGAGACTCAAACAAACAACAAAAACGCACAAGAACAAGAGTCCTAAAAGCACAAACTAAATTGATTCACGAGAATTGGAAACAAGCAAAATTTGAATCAATTACTTCTCATGAGACATATAGGATCCATCAACATATGAAAAAAATTAGATCCACACAACAAACACACAATAAGACATAGAAAAAGAAGAGTAGACAACACGGACTCAAGTTGAACAAGTTCGAGACACAAAACCTCAAGAGCACCAAAGCTCTGATACCAAAAATGATGGAAGCTAGATGAAGAACGGTTGTTGAATCTCCATAACTCCACCTTAATTCGACCTTTGCACCTTGAGGTTGATGGATTAGAAGCTTGAAACACCTTTGAAGAACCTTCAATGGTGGAGAAGCAACTTGGATGGTTCGGCCACTTCAAGAAGCTTGAAGAAGCTTGAGGAACCTAGCTCAAAGGTTGAAAACCTTTGAAGAAAAACCTAGAGGAGAAGCTCCACGGTTTTAGGGACTTAAGAGAAGAGAGAATTCATAATTTCTGAATTCATTCATCAAAAGTGAAGGTTTAGGCCAGATTTACAAATATATAGGGAGAGGTAGCTTGTAGTGTAAGCTAACCTTAACCATGGTTCACTAGGAACCATGGTAAGGTGTAGCTAACCATCCATGGTTTCTAAAACTTGTAGGAGAAGCTAACCTTGACCATGGTTCACTTAAGAACCATGGTAAGGTCAGCCTAACCTACCAAGGTTTAGAAGCTTGGAAGGCAAGCTTCAAAGCTTGAAGGAGAAGCTTCACAATTTCGGCCAAGAACAAAGAAAGGAGCTAGGCGACCAAGTCTCAAAATGCTCACTTGATTTATTTCAAAAATATTTGATTTGGTTTAGTTAGGTTCATCATATGATGATGAGACCTAGCTAAATCAAATCTATGAAAAATTAGGAGCAAAATGAGTCTAATATGCAAAATTTTGCCTAGGCCCAGTTCTGGCCCAATTACTAGTCACACCCTCAAGCATTGCTAAATGCCACCCCTTTTTCCCTATTGAAAAAATATAAAATGAATGTATCAACAAAGGAGGTTAAATGGAGTTAAACTCTCCAAGTAACCCACCCTAAAATCAATATACAATCACTAATTAAAAGCAAGTAAAGTGTCTCACAAATACAAAGGCAAAATTAGACCTATACAAAGGAACTATGTACAAACATATGAAAAGGTCTTTAAGATCATCCCATTCCTCTTGGTTCTTTTAAGATATCACCTCTTGGATTCCTTGGCCTTGGCCATAGTCTATCAGGGTAATGGCCAAATAATCTCCATCAAGGCAAACCAGAGAACAGCTCGGCAATGTTATACGCTGAAAGTATCAAAGCATCGCCACCAACAGAGGAGCAACGCCGGGATGAATCTCCCACCGTGGCTCACATCACCCAGACCGAGATCACTGACCTAGACCCGAGAGCGGAATCTCACGACAACAGACCAAGCCCAATTGATGAGCTAGACGATCTCCAGATCGGCAAACTTCCCGGTCAATGCATAAAAATTATCCAACAATTAAACCCGGAATTGCGACAACAGCTCGTAGCCAAAATCTCCAAGAATTTCGACCTCTTCGCGTGGTCCAGTGCCGACATGCCAGGTATAGACCCGCATCTCATATGTCACAGGCTGGCGATCCATAAAGAGGCCAAACCGGTGGCTCAAAGAAAATGCAAAGTTGAAGGAGAAAGACGAGAAACCATTGTGGCCGAAACACAAAAATTGTTGAGAGCAGGCTTTATCCGAGAAGTCAAATACACTACTTGGCTAGCCAACGTAATGCTCGTCAAGAAACACTCGGGCAAGTGGCGCATGTGTATCGATTACAACGACTTGAATAAAGCATGCCCGAAAGACGCGTATCCTTTGCCGAGCATTGACAGGCTGGTCGACGGAGCCTCCAGCCACGCCCTCCTTCTAGTGCCATATACTCGGCAATTAACTCTTCGATCCGAGGTCCTCAGAGCTCGGGGGGCTAGTGTACTATCCACATCAGACCATCTCGAATGGGCGCTAGATGACATCGGTCAAAGCAAAGGCCCAACGCCTATTGGGCCATGGCCAATCTCAGGCCCAAATCAATATTACCCTCGCCCAAGAGAAAATCCTAATTATATACCAAGGTACATACGTGCACTATATATATGAGACGATTACACTATCAAAGACTAACTTTAGCATCGGAGTCTCTTTTACAGATACCACCTCCACTTTGGAACAACTGACGTACCTAGCAAGGAAGGCTCACCAATCTTGCCTAGTAGATCGTCTCTCATAACCGATTTCCGGTAAGAACAATACTAGTATCTATAAATAAAATATTAAATAAAAAATAAATATGTAAAATGTTTAAAAAACATAAAATACTTAATACTTTACTTAATTTTTTTTGAAAGAAAATACTTTACTTAATTAGTACTTAGAAAAATGAAAGAATATTGCATAAAGATATATAATTATTTGTTATATTAATAGGATTAAATGCATTGAACCTTTTGATAACAGAAATATATAACATAAAAAATGGTAATTCCTATTTAAAAAACCGGTAATTAAGATATATGCCAATTTATTTCTTTTAATTTATTGCCTTATTGTTTGTGTATTATGTTCTAATTACGACCATTCAATGGAAATATTGAAGGAGAGAATTGAGCAATTGAATGTATTCACATAAAAGTGGCTTTGACCACCTACCAATTCAGCTGATTTTCAACATTAATTCTGCGCGTGATCATTGTTGTGTCTATGTTATAAAGTTGTTGGAATTCCAAGAGGTGAATTAAAATGTATATATGTTTTCTTTTAGAGGTTTGGGAGACATGATTATGCAATCAATCTTTGAATCGTTGACTTTTTTCTTCTTCTTTTAATTGATTAGTGAAATCAGTATGGAGAAAGAGCACCTTACATGTTCTTTCAGTAGGATGTATGAACACAGGAGCAAACAAACGAGTAAGAGAAAGCTGCATAGAATATTCCACGGAGGGGTGACAAGGTTTGTCTAACAAACGCAAAGATGAAAAATTAGAATTCCTTGTTATCATATGCAAAAACGACTAAGGTTTGTGAATACATATTTATATATATGTGGTTGACTGTTCTTCAAAAAATTAATATGGTTGTGACCTTGTTTGTTAAAGGAATTGTTTGGTCTATACTTGGGCTTCTTGTTTTAATTATTTGAAATATGTGTGTTTGGATAAGTGGAGTTAAACTTGATTTTCAAAAGTAACAAATTAATAATTATTTTTGTGATGAATTTTTCATAATTTTGTACTAAACATGATTTTTTACCACCAAACCAAACACTACCAACCAGCTTCTGCATTTAGTTTTGTCAGTGGCTTCTGTTTGTCCAAAACCTGTACCAATGGCCATCCCTTCCTGGTATATGCTATTTTACCTGGTATATGTTATTTATTCAGCAGGTAAAGTTATTAAAACTTTGTGAATTGTGATCTTTAAGTTTGTCATTATCCTTTTTTTTTTTCTTTTCGGGTTGATAAAGTTATTTTGTTTAAAAATGTACCAGTATAAAGTAATTCGTATTTCATCGGTATTCTTTACCCTTATATTTTTAACTTGGACAACTTTTATTATTTTTATTACACTTTGAATGAGTCATACTTTTGAAGAATGAATGACCTTTTTTTATTGTACATTAATTTTATATTAGTAGTCTATATTATATTAATTATAATCGTATCATATTTCATAAATTTTAAAATTTTATCACATGTATGTTATATTGTACTTTTTTGAGGAGAAACATGTTATATTGTACTTATATCTTATATAATAAGTGTACTATACGCATATAACAAAAGTCTTTTTAATCAATCACGGGTATAAAGTGAATACATTGGTCAAGAGAAACATTATTGTTTTAGGAGAAACTTTTTCATTTTGATGTGTTTATAGGAGCAACGTACAGCACAAATTTGAAATGGCTGCAGAAAAATGTTGAAATAAAAAGGGATTGGCGTACGTGAAGGGAGACAAAGAAAGGAAGAGGAACATACAAATACCCAATTAACGTTTTAAGAGAATAATGTATTGATACATGATCACGTGTACGGAAATGAGAAAAAGAAAAGAAGCAACACAAAGTATAAATGGAAAAGGACAAGGGGAGGGAAAGATCTCGTTCTTTGAAGATGTTCGATTGTGGGAGTGATAGGAATCTAAGGTGATCCAAGCACTTGCAGACAAATCCGTTTCAGAAGATAAAAAAGAAATTGCCCTTTATGTGGAATGGAAAAAGAAATTGAACTCTGAAGCATCCCCTAGACTCCTTATTAAAGTCCATACCCTAATCTCTCCAAACTAACCTTAAGACATGGTCTTCCAGGTAGAGTATTTTCAAAGCTATAGCTAGCTACTGCACTTGATGCCAAATTGCCAACTTAAAAGCTGCTTGGTTGGTTTCCAAGTAGAAAACAGTACCCTATGAAACTAAGAGGGTCCCTTTTGTCTTTTTGGTGGAAAACTTGAGATTGTGGAAACTAGGAATTAAGGGACTTTCTCCCCTCTTATTGTATATATGCTTCTCAATTCCTCCTACCTAGCTTGGATCACTTTCAGATCATCACTTCCGGAAGAAACATCATCAAAGATCAACGGTACAGATTTGTTTAATTATATATCTTTCATGTTGTGCATGTTGGTCAAGGAATTAACCAGTAGTAATGATATATACATACATTATTTGGTGGTTTTGTATTTGCATACTTGGTGTGCCTGGCTCCCTGTATGCCATTTGTAGACCCCATCACAATGGTGATGGCTTTAATAAATGGCGTATGAGGAGCCATGCATGCTTTGTGTTGCTCATCAAGGAGATTTAAGATAAAGGGGTTGAATATCTGTCTTCTACAAAATCAAGTTCAACTGGTTTTCTTAATTAAGTTTCTATCTTCTTAAATCTTAATTAATCTGGTTTGTTATTTGTTTATTATTTCTCACATCTGGAAAGAGAGGGGGCTGGGATTGTCAATAGTTCTCTGGATCTCCTTCATCATTAGGCGTGTAATTAGTTAATAATCCGTTAGGTATGTTCAAGTGATCGAATTAGTTTGTCTAGTTGAGCTTCCTAGTCCAAATGGCATTGACTTGGTTGGATTCTAGATAGATTGGTTTTGTTAGGTACACGAAGCGAAGAATTTTTGGTTAGTTGATTAGAAAATTTTATTTTATTTACATATGCTTTTATTAAGTATTGCCAAAATATACTTTATTTTTATTTTTCTAAATATATATATATATATATATATATATATATAT